GGAAGCTCTTCGTTATCAATCCTGTAAGATACGAGCTGATTCTGTAACTTTTAATAACAGTCGTTGCGCAGCTTTCTTTTACTCTACATAATATCTGCGCAACGACATCAACGATTGTCATTAAGAGTTACAGAATCAGTCCATTAGAATCAGATACAATATTAATATTCTCTGCGATTTTAACGGTGCAGCCGCGCCGTTAAAATCCCAGAGAGCTTTTTAATGAGGCGATTTAGGAACCGGTCGGAGAAATCTCGCGATCGTCGGAAGGGCTCATAGTTCGATTTTAGCAATCTGCGGTCTCTTTTTACGTTTTTCTTTCTTCACTGACTTCTTTTTTATAGAATCCTCGCGCTGGCCGGCGTGTACAGCATTCCTATACGGATTCAAATAGGCCGGATCGCGTTCCGTAATATTCAGCTCCTGTTCGACCAAATGAAACATCGTGATGGTTGATTTATTCAGTAAATACCGCGTCTGATTGGCGAAATTCAGGGACCAGTGTATTGTGGAATTCCATCCCGGTTGCGTCTTCAGTATTCTGTGAGTGATGTCCGGCAAATGCAGTATGATATCTCCGAAGAGCGCGATGTTCTCCAGGATGTTAGACAATGCTACGATAAATACAGTAAGTAAAAAAGTAAGTAAAAACAAGTCAATGGCATTTCGATTTATTATTTCTTATGAAATTACTATTATATTCTATCTAATTTATTTTAAATATTAATTTAATATTTTCAGATATCCACCGTACACAAATAATTAGTTCAATAAGTAAAGTATTAGCGATATAACGATTTATCAGCACATCTGAGCAGAACATTATGGCAGAATAGCATCAATTGTATCCGTTAAGTTCGTGCTATATGAGACATTCTATTGTAATAGAGATAAAAATATAATATAATATCTTATAATATTATATATTTTATCTTATAATATTTGTTATCTTTCAAATGAATTTATGAAGATTTAAAATGAAGATTTAAAAAAAAATACTTTGAACTTTTTCAGATTTTATAAGTTTTTTTCAAAAATTATACAATGAGAAATCTTAAAAGTCTTACAAGAAGAGGCTCAGACGTTCGGAATTTAGAAAAATTTGAAACTACAGTACGTGAATATCACCCAGATGCGATTGAGCATGTTCAAATCGACAAAGCGGCTAGCCTGCTTACCGAGCAAATGAGTATAATTGGTTGTTCACTTATAACATATTGGTTGTTACCAATTATCCAATCAATCATATTCAATCACTCGATAAGCATTCCTAGCTGCTTTGCCATCTTGAATTCGCCTATTATTTTGGTCAAGCAGTAAGATGCGTTTCTCAGTCATTGTCGAAAAAAATCGACGAAAAATTCTGAGTGGGATACGTACATTGAAGCAAGTTTCAACTTGAGCAAGTTTCAACAAGTTCCATAACAGGTACCTTGAAAATGTAAAGCTTGTTGAAGCATCAAAGAAGTGTGAACAAAGAATTTCAACGCTTCTTAAACACTTCATTGACTTTCCATTGACTCTTAGTGGTTTTCAATATTCATACATACGCTCCATGGACTCTCCCCAAACGCTCCGTAAAGTGTGCCCAAAACACATCTGTCACATTTCCCACACGTTTAAAATTTTTTTTTTTTTCATTAACGTTTCTCATACGCTCTTCAACACTCCGTAAAGAATGCATGGAGCGTACTGATACACTTCCTAAACACTTCATTCATTAATACTTCGTCTACGCTTCCTAAACGTTCGGCAAAAAAGTATACGCAGCATTCAAATTCGCTTTGTGTATGCTTTCAGGATATAGAGATAAAATAATTTATTTTAAAAGTGTCATTGAGCTATACAGCAAATGAGCAAATGTAAACGAAATCGTTGAATAGTACGCGGTACCGCCACCAGGAGGATTTAGTGAAAACTAACTTCTCGATTTAAAAAACTGCACTAAGATAAAAGATAAAAGATAAAAGAAATGTAACATTGAAAGATTTTTCAGTTCTAATGAAATAATTTTTTGAAGTGAGCCCCTAGGGCTTCAAAAAGAAAGTGTAGCACTTTTTTTTTAATATTTATCGAATAAATGAAATATATTTTAAAATATCATTTGCTTATCAAGGATTTCGATTACATTTCGATTACATTTCGTTCGTCTAAGAACTTGACGATGCTCCGTTTATGTTCTCTAGACTAATCACACTCCGTTTAACGTTCTGCTCGTGCTTGCCGAAGAACTTATCTATATTTTTATTTATGTTTCTTTAACATTTAGTTGATGTTTCCTTTACATTCCACTTTTCGCTTCTTACAGGTTTCATTTATCTCCTTCTTACACTTTCTTTACATTTCAATTAACGTTTTATTGACATTCGCTTTACGTTTTATTTTCATCAGGGTAGTGATCTTGTCTAGTAACCGCAAGTGTCCCTTTAATCAGAGTCTAGCCATTTTTTTGATTGATCCGACATTTTTCATCCATTCCATTTAAATGCATAATGAAAATACATTATGTTTTTACTTGAAATACATGATGCATGGATTTGCTGTCGTAATATTTATAATCAGACACTAAATTTTTACGTTTTTTTAAATTTTAATCGCCAGCTAGTTATCTGCCAGAATATTCAAGAACTATGAAGCTTATAGAACATCTCTATAGAGCTGAAATTTACAGTGCCACTGTAGCGTGAGACGAAAAGAGATAGCCATGATTTTTTCTCTTGCATAATTCGAATAAAAAATGGCGGCCATTTCAAGTGACCATGGTGAAAGGGATAATATGGTGATGTATGTAATTTGCATCTCTCTCTGAATCTCCGTCATCTTTATCTATGAATGTCGATAAGAGACTAAAGCTGTTAAACATGAGACGATATTCATAGTCCGCTTTTATTTTAAAACTGTCTTAAATAATGTCTTAAGATGCTAATATAGTCCTCGGATTGATTTATGACATTTTAAGATTATACTTAAGATAAATAAAAATAATCTTAAATGTAAGAATACTGATCTGTTTCGCGTCGTAAAATTGATACTGAATTTTTTCTTATTTAACTTAATGTTTCTCTTTCTATAGAAAGCCCATGTTATCCTTAATACACCATGTTATCCTTTCCATCAGATTTTGATTATGGGACACTTATTATGGAATTCCGTTCTGAACCGGCGCCGAGGTTTGCTCTCTCTGACTTGTCCAAAAATAATTTACTTAATCGGAATACATGTAAAACTGTAAATTTTGCACATCATACTCTGTTGAAACGGAGAACGCGAGGAACTAAGCGTGCGGAAGATTCCAATATATATATATATATA